TTGGACCGAGTGAGAACTTGACTTGGGACTATAGTCTTCCGGGCAACGTTCTTTTGTGGAGCACTAGCGGGTGCTGGTGGGGTAGCACTAACCCTAAGTACGGTCGTCCGTACAAGGGCCTCTGGTGAAGCACTGCTGCGTGCTGAGGAAGCAGTGGAGACTGCTGCTAGTGGGCCTGTTGCTGGACCTGTTGCTGGGTCTTGATCGTCACTTATGTATGGTTCAGAGGGTTCGGAACTAAAGTCGGGAAAGGAGTCGGAATCAGTTAGGGTTGCTCCCCAGTTACTCGGGAAGATCCCTTCAGTGTCCGATGGAGCTAGGTTAGTATTTGGCGGAGTCCGGGTTTCAGTCCGGATTGGTGGAGGTACAGGGTTTTGTTTTCGGCTCTTGTTGATCGGGGTGAACCCGGAAAGCACTGGCGACTGCTTAGGGGGTGTTTCTGGTATCTCCTCCGGGATAGGCTTGACAGTTTTGCGGGACGATTTGCGACCTGAGGAAGTTCGGTGTTTCTTATGTTTTCGGGACGATTTGTGTTTCTTGGTTTTTCGGTGGGTCTTTTCGTTATCGTCTTCGTCTATGTCACGCAAGCGCTTCTTATTGGGAAGTTGATTTGTGTTCTGTGAGCTACCGGGAGTGCTCTGAGCGGTGTTTGGAGTCTGATAATGTTAATGTATCACTGTGGTGAGTATGGTTCTAAAATTAATTGGATTAGGAGAGAGAAATACCATCTTATTTATAAAGATTGCAAAGGTTAAATCGCTTGAAAACGGAGGAACTTGAAGGATGAGATTTCAACAGGTAATGTTGAAGGCAATGGAAAACTTGAAGGTGGTTAGGAACTTCTCACGAACTTGAAGGAAGGGAGGGGTGCTCTTATACCGAGTACGATCAGCTTTTTTTCTTGAGCTTATCACGCTTCCGAGAGCACCCACGAATGCTCTAGAAGCACTCGAGGGTGCTCGTACTCAATGTTTGCTTCAATATATGACGTTGATCTAAATGCTCCAGGCGCACTCGGGGATGCTCTGACGGTACCAATGGTGACGTCGATAACATTCTGGTGTTGGGGTTGGTGCTTGTGTTCTTGTTGGTGTTGGTACTCTGTCCTCTAGGAAGCTGATTCGGAGAGAATGTATTCTTTGAGCTCGTAGTCGATATTAGTGTTGAATTTGGCGCTGAGAACACTGTCTCGATCTGAAGAGACTCCGCGAGTGCTCAGGGAGAGAGTGCAGATGCTCAGGGCGATAGAATCTAGCATAACTGGCCGCCTGATTGGGGTGGTGGGGTGTTTCTTCGTGTTGGTGTTGATGTTTGTATTAGGTTGGTGATGTATGACATCAGACTCGTATTGAAAATCAGCCTTGCCGACCGGGGTGCAGGTGAGAGGAGCCTCATTGGCTGACAAATCAAATCATTCGAGCACTCTGCAGCAGCACCTGCAGGAAAGAGCCTCCTCGGCCTTGGCAGAAACCAAATTTTTAGAGCACTCAGGAGTGCTTTGCTAGCATCATGAGACTTCAATGAAATCGTCTTGCCCTTTTTGCAGCAAGCGGTACAGCTCCTCCGCGAACTTCGATAAACATCTTCGAACTACACATCCATTTGAAGCAGATGAATGGCTGGGAAACCAATTTTTACTCCTGGAGCGCGATCAAGAGGCACCCAATGACACTCACGACAGCCCGGAAGGCATTCACGATTCCTATTCAGATGCCCATGACGACTCGGATAGTTCGGAGAGCAACAGTATCAATTATCATGACCAAGATCCCGATAATAATTCAGATCTGGAATCCGAATCATATTTTATGATGGAAGAGACAGATGGAGATGCAAATAGGCATGAGGCAGCGACAACGATTTACGAGGGTGCTGGGGAGCGTCTCTACCGCTCGGAGGACTACGACGAATGCTCACAAAACCTTCTCCGATACCCGTGGCACCCATTCAACTCAGCATACGAGTTTAGAATGGCACGTTATTTCATACTGTCGAAGGCCTCACAAGGAAATATCGACAGTTTCTTTCTACACGCTCCGTCAAGCAGTGGCGAATGCTCCTACAGGACTGGGCGAGGTTTTATAAAGAGGTTGGACGAAATGAATGACATATTGGGAAAGGCGAGCTGGCATCATTCGGAGGTGGATATTGGGGGAGAGAAAATCCCTTACTATTACCGGGATCCAATGGTAATTGTGCGATATCTTCTAGGCCAACGGGCCTTTCGGGAGTCATTGGTGTACGCGCCAGTGGTGGAGCATAATGAATCTGGCGAGAGAATGTACGGGGAAATGCATACGGGAGATTGGTGGTGGGAGACGCAGGTCTGGTAAGTCTCACAAGTGCTCTAGAGGCAGTCGCTAATGCTTTCTGGACAGAATACCTTACCGGAGGGGTCGACTGTGGTACCAATTATATGCGCGTCAGATGGCACACATTTGACAAATTTTAGTGGGGACAAGAAAGCCTGGCCAATCTATCTTACCATCGGGAACATCAAGTCATCGGTCCGGAGCAAGCCCACCGGGCATTCGTTAATTCTCCTAGGGCTACTGCCAGTCCCACCTAAGCTCGGGAAGAACTCACTCGCTAATTCCGCTTTACGACGTCAGAGTCAAATGGCGCTGCATCGCGCCCTTGGGGAGATCTTTCAGAGCATTCGGGAGTGCTCTCAGGAAGGCGAGCTAATCGCATGCGCCGACGGGTACGAACGTCTATGCTTTCCGGTGTTGTCGGGTTGGATCGCTGATCAACCTGAGCATTCAAACTTACAAAATATTAGTACTCGCTCTTGTCCAAGATGCGAGGTGGAATTCCACAGTCTTGGGAGCACTCGCCGTAGCCCTACGCGCGATCACGAGGATTACCGGGAGAGGGTAAAGCTATTCAGGGAGAACCCGGGAAACCTGGGACCGGTGGAATACCTTGTCGCGAGATCAGTAAAGACACTCTTCAATGCTTTCTGGGGTATGCCGAGGGTTAATCCATACGATCTCAACAAACCGGACATTCTGCACAATATCTACCTAGGGATGTTGAAGCACATGATGGAGTGGGTTCGGGCTTTCTTGAAGAAGCACAATCGATTGGAGGAATTTGACAAGGCTTGGGCCTCGATTGCGCCTTACCCTGGACTGGCAGTACCGAACAAGGCATATCGTGCCACAACCCAATGGCAAGGGGAGGAGATGAGAAATCTGGGGCGGGTCGTTCTTGGAGCACTCGCGGCTGCTTTGAGAAACCCGGGGGTGGCTCTCAGGGGCGACTTTGCAAAGGCATTGAAATGTGTACGAGGCTTAATCGACTTCCACTTAATGGCGCAGTATGGGAGTCATACGACGAGCACACTGAATTATATGGAGAGCTATCTCGAGGATTTCCATAAGCACAAGGATATCTTTTTAGAATTCTGGGCGTACAAGAGGACGGTTAAGGATGCGAGAGATCGGACAAAAGCTGTGAAGACCTCAGGCTCCCAGAGCGCTCAGCGAGGTTTGGAGGAGATTCGCGAGATACGGGAAAGGTCTCACTTCAACTTCATCAAATTGCACGTGTTAACGCACTATCGGGAACATGTCGAGCGCTTTGGGAGCATTCCCCAGTACTCCACCGACATCAACGAACTCGCCCATGTACGTCAGATAAAAGAGGCATACGGAGCATCCAACAAGGTCGATGCTGCAACGCAGATACTGGACTATGGGGGGCGGCGGTTGGCGTTAGAGATTCGAATGCTGAATCTGAAAGACATTGTTGGAGGTCCTGAGAGCACTGACGACATCCTTTGGAGCCATCGAGATAACCTGAAGGAGTTACTTGAGATTTTTAAAATCGAAGACCGGAAAAAAACACCAAATGAACGATCCATAGTAGAAGGCCGACTGCCTCTAAGGCGTCTTTGCAACCCCTCCACGAAATCGGAAAGACTTTTCAATATTGTGGATGGACTGCAAATAAGCCATACCACGTTATATCGCCTGATAAAGGAGTATGCAGAGGATGCGGGATGCTCTCAAAGCTTTGCCGGAAGCTCTGAGAGCATTTTAGAGCGCCGGGTGGAGATGTTCACATGTTTGTAGGTTCCGATACCAATCTTCCAAAGACCTGAGGTGTACGAGGTTCACAATATCAGGTGTACGGGAAACGCGGCTTTTAGGAAAGGGAAACTAAGAAAGGATTGGGTATGGGTATCGGTAGCGTCCTCAGAGGAGTGGGGAGTGTTTCGGGGACGCTTACCAGGACGTGTCGAGGCTTTGTTCAAGCTGCGGGACAGTGGGGGGCGAGCACATAGACTATGTATAGTGGAGCTACTCGAGGCAAAGGATCGTGGTATCGCTGATAGCTCACATGGGCTCCTGAAGGTTTGTAGGAGGAGGAGGAAGAGGATGTGGGTCGTTAATATTCGGAGTATATTGGGAATGGCCCATTTGTTTGAGGTGGAGACTGGTAATTGGTTGGTAAATACTAGGATAGACTTGCGTACGTGGAATGAATTTAGTTGAATACTTGTAAAGCCGTGAGGGCATTCTTGAGTGCTCTAGGAACGTTAGACCCAATTGGACTCTCTAATTCAAAATTCGTGTCGTTCTGCTATGCATGCGGATTGGAAGAAGGAGGTAAAGTTTCGGCCGCTCAGTATCTGAGTCTGGCTATCCAGCAAGCTCGCTCCAGGAGGTCAATGCCAGTCCATGTTTGCTGCTTATGCATGGACATTGAGCTTTTCAGACGAGCCGTACCATGGCCTCAACCTCAAGGCTAATTATGCCTTTCACGAATCGACAGAAACATACACGTCCTTCAATGGTTGGGTAGTCGTCACCAGTATACAGGACAGTGCTCGTATCAGTATCCCGCGACTGACCGTACAGCGGCGTTGAGGATACCCACGTTAGATATCTTTTGAGGGACTGGTGCGGCCTTCCTATCCTTTGAGGACGGTGTATCAATCCAAAGGAGCCCAAATGAGGGTTGCCTCACCTTGAGTGGGTATGACGAATGCCTCAGCTCTGTGAGCATTGGTGAGTGCTCTGGGAGCACTCGCGGTAGCCCTCGCGGGAGCGTTCGCGGTAGCCCTCGCGGGAGCGTTCGCGGGAGCGTTCGCGGGAGCGTTCGCGGGAGCGTTCGCGGGAGCGTTCGCGGGAGCGTTCGCGGGAGCGTTCGCGGTGCCGTTCGCGGGAGCGTTCGCCGTGCCGTGAGAGCATTCGCCGTGCCGTGAGAGCATTCGTCGTGCCGTGAGAGCATTCGTCGTGCCGTGAGAGCATTCAAGAAAACTGTGAGAGCATTGGGAAGTGCTCGCGTGTACTACTGACGTAATCAAAAGAAGCAAAAGTTCCTAGGTGCTGTGGGCGGAGTCACTCCATCCTAGCGTCTCCGGAGGGGGAGGGAATCTCATGGCGGCCCAGGCGACCAGAGCATTGGCGAGTGCCCTCCGGACGTGAGCCATATCTCCTGGCGGTCCCAGAGAGTGGGACGGTCCTACGGCGGAGCCTGGCGCGAAGGTTGTACTCTGGCGGTGCCGGACGCGCTGGGCGCTCGTGGCGCAGAATGCCCGCCAGGACGTAGGGGCTGCGCCCTGGGTAATAGGCGAGCTTGCTGATGTATGACTAACTAGTTGAGCCCTATGACGAGGCGTAGAACAAAGTAGTATTCGTGGAGTAAGTACAAGAAGTTCCGTGAAGAGAAAAGGAAAGGAAGGAAAACATGAGAAGGCACGAGACAACACCCCTTTATATATCTAGCCTCTAGTCCGTTGATGACTCATACCTCGCGTAATGGAAACCAAAAGAACATAACAGAGACCCCATTACAAATCCTAATTCAACTGCACAATACCTTCCCTTCACGATTCAATCGATCATTCCAACCAACAGATAATGTTGCCGTTACATTTGCTAGCAGTATATGGGGTAAGACTTCCTGGTTTCCGTCTATCTTTATCCCTCTTAACTATATTCCAGCAGGTACTTCTCTTCACTCCCGTTCGTTCCTCAATCTCGTTGTAGGTCAAACCGACCTCGTAAAGGGTGATAACCTTCGCCCGCTGAGCTTCAGTAGTCTCCTTTCTTCTTTTATTCAATGGGGAAGGCGGTACAATCATATTGGTAGAGCTCGTAGATCTTTTAGCTGCCACTAGTGGATTCTTCGTTGCCAATTGCTTGAGATTACAGCTATGGAAGCACTCTCGCACCCTGTGAAGATTTTGATGAGGCTTGCTTATTCACGAATTACAAAGCACGTCCCACGACTTATTACCTATCGGTGTACATAATAATACTGCTTTTAGAGTTGGTCACATCGCCGTGGAGGGAAAGGGGAGGGGGGGGGGGGTGAACTGTGAGCACGAAAACGACAGTCGACAGGCCATTATCAAGGGCAGTATATATTGAGCATAGCTTCTAAGAAGAGGGAAGGAATAAAACTGTTCTGTGTACATGTACCACACTCTCAATTAAGGCATAGGCTCTTACAATTATTCAACTACTACATAGTAGTTGAGTGTAGATATCTCGAATGAGTCGTATAGGGATAGAATAACCTTCTAGAATATGGATACGTTTGAGGCTTTTGCGATTGCTCACGGTATGGTAGCTCACATAATAGATAAGGTACCGAAAGAGCCTCTGCATAATCCGTATCCTCAACATGCAATGCAATCTCGGCCCTTCGTTTTAGTACAGACGAAGGCTACTTTATATTAATCCTGCGGCTGGTAACTGTTGAACAAAGGACTACATGTATATAATGCGGCTAGCCAGATACGCGTACAGGAATAGTTTAGTTTTGTGCTTATCTCATTTAAATATCTGCGTGTCAGAACGTAGGTGGCGCCTTATCTAGGTGCATGTACATGTTTTTGGTAGCCCTGTTGTCGCAAATTGCTCCAGACGATTATATCCGTAATGATGAGAATCATGGATGATCACTCGCCTTGAGGAATCATTAGTAGTCGTATATCTGATGCTGCCCTGTCTCAAGTAGTACTCGCTCGATCTTTTTGAACCGCTGATGATACCTCCCCATAGCTTGTTGATTTGGGTCATATTGGTCCAGACTGGGTACTAACTAAGTACTTGTATGTTCGGCCTTTTCCAATCGATCGGCGAGATTTTCTAAAGCCATGGTTATATAAATACTCGGGTGTAGAAATAAGAACTAGAACATGCAAGTGAAGAGACAGGGATCATCTGTATGGAGTGGCGCCGCGCCGCTCTGCAATACAAATAACCTCATTGCGCATATCATACTTATTCTGGTTCTAACCCTCGTACCCGAGTATATACTTGTATGTATGTATACAGATTTATCCCGCAGGCCGGTGGCGCTATATATAAAACCACCAGCTAGGAAGTAGGAATAGCAGCCTAAATTTCACAAAAAACTTCACTGGTGGGATTCTCGTAGATCCGCTAACACCGGTCTGGTCACAACCCATCACTCGGCACCACAAAGAACAAGAAACCCCCTTTATATGTGTCGTATCTGGGCTTAGGTATTTTGAAAATTTTCTTGTTATGACAAAGAATTGTAGGCGGCTAGTAGTGAATGCTATGTGTTTCCGTTATTTTGGAATCATCTTATCAATGTCAATGAGCCAATATCCACGTCTCAATCTTGTGCCATCGATCTCATGCTTAGCAGCCCCAATCCCCACTATGGGATCAAATGCTCGATCGAACAAACGCCAAGTATCTCTTGTTACAACTCTATGCATATGATCTCTTGTCACATGTTCCATGCATGTTTACCATCTCAGAAGAAGCAAATTCCCCAGCATTAAGTATTTCAAATTCACACTGGCAGCTCTAATAAGTTTCGGCGATTATAAAGCGATATTTCGTGAAATCTATCCATTTATTAGGGCTAACCACGACCCACAAATGAGGGATTAGGTTTATGACTGCCATTTCGTGTCTCCATTCTTCTGTGCAGTTGTTTGGGGCTCTTCCACACCCATAGACTTTGCTACTATCACTCCGGACATCACTACGATCGAAGGTCAGTGAGCAGGAACAGTTGCAGCCCCACATCCGTCTCCTACGAAGTAATACTTAACCTCATCTAGGCCAAGTTCCGTGATCCACCGGTACGTGGGCTACTACCGACGCAAAATGTATGTCTAAACTTGCCAGTCTTAACTACGTCTCTGAGATTCTAAGGCGTGAATTAAGTCTTTAGAGTAACGACTAATATTTTGTGGAATATATAGGAAAGTACCACATTGCAGCTTTGAGGAGGAGCACAAACAACCTGGTAAATACCTAGAATATCCTACTACCCGCCGTACCAGGACCGACTAATGGGCGCCCCTTTTTTTACTGAATATAGCTAGAGTGGCATTGTTACTCTAGTTTGATATACAGAAAAGGGGGATATCTATCAATCAGTCTTGAGGCAGCGGAAAGCAGGATATTCTGGGTATTTGCCAGGTTATTTATGTTTTTGTCAGTGTCGGTAGGTACTGTAGTATTGGTTGATGTACTAATTCCTCCTAATCGGTCTTATAGCTAATAATCCTAGAAACAGTTGGAGGAGTCAAGGGAATCAGGAGCTTCTCCCTGTGGTCGGTGTTATCTGTACGTACCATCTGGTACTGATTTTTCAGAGCTGCTATTTGTATACAGAGATCTCATTATCCAATAGAGAACACCCAGAAAAATGGCAAATACCTTGGACGATTTATAGGTACAACTATATGAGTTTGTAAGTCTCATCTTATAAGTATTGTAGCTAATATCGGTCAATTGAGCAGGGTAGTGGTGAGGGGATATAGACGAAACTCCAGCGCCGCCTAGGGCCCCGCCACGCCTCCGCCCTCACGATCACGCTCCCGCTTGGGAATCTCTCACTGCCCACGCCCGAGGCCGAGAACTCTTCGTACGTATAACTCTATTATAATCCTTTAAAATCTTTCTTCTTTGCAATTTATGTGGCTGGGGCTGCTGGGTGGCATATTGAATCATGCCTCTCTGCCAGTAGTCTAGCTGTATGGGCATTCCCGTGCAGATATATCTATTTTAATTTTGGATATATTCTTTGGGAAATGCAATTCCGATTATAAAAAACTCATTGATAAGATCAGAGAAAAGTCTAATCATTAGAATGGTGAACACCCAGGAGAGTGGCAACCAGATAGCCCATTATCCGGTCCGGGGGCGCTCGAAGGTAGGGAAAATTGTTAAATTCATCAAGATATACACAGAAATGTGGGGAGAGAAAATTAAAGCTAACACCTATGTAAATTAGCATTGACCCAGCAGCGTTTGGGCGGTCTCTAAATAGTCCACATTTATTTGTGGGTCTCGGCCCGGTGCAGCTCCCCTTTCTTGCCGGAGGGAGCTGGTGCGCATGCGGCTCTCGCCTTAAGCTTTCTTATAGAGGGAATAAGAAGGGAAAGGCTCTAGAGACTATCCCCCTGGTTAGCGCCAGTGTCACTGGGGATGACTTTTCCCACGGTCATTTGCAATTGCAACATCGTAAGTCTAAAATAATAATCCCTTCTCTGTGAATTTAAACTTACTTGCCTTTCAAATAGCCCTGCGTTGAATAATACCATCGCCCGCCTGCCGACTGGGCTAAGGTCAATGCATGAGAATGGCGTTGGCACAAGGACCATTTCGTGGAATATATCAAACGGTCCATGAGGCCTGTGAGGGAATTAGTATCCCATTTGATTTGGGTGTGCGGTGGCCTGAAGCGAGATTACGCGCAACATCGTCGACGGGGCAAGTCCGGTGTAGGCTTTTTTATATTTTTATTTTGTAAATATCATTAATAAGCATTAATATTTTTATCTTGTGCTGCTGTTCCTAGAGATTTCTTGAGTGGGGGGGGGGTGATTATAACCAGCACTTGTAGTAACATATCGCCATGATTGGTGGTAGCAAATTCCTTTGCTAGTAACAATACCAATAGATGTAGTTTGATTTACCTAAATCGAGCTTATTAGTAAATGGTATTTCGCTATTAATTATTAGCACATCGATCAAGTGATTAAATTAATTATATAAGTATGTAGTTAGCTTGTCACAAAGTGACCCTTTTGGATACATACATGTCTGTATATACTTGAGTAGACAGCATCATGGTTCCTCGCTCGACCAGTCAGTCAGCTGACCATGACTGAGAACAGCACATGTTGTTCCAGGTCACATCCCTAGCCCCTAGCTCTTTTCATGCGGCCAAAGATACATGACATCACAACACACACGAGAGTACAATTCGTGATCTTTTGATTCCCTCTGGTGTCCTCCCGCCGCCCTCTTTTGGTTGTTAATGTAGCTAATAGGAGCGCAATGCAAACAAACACATAAAAAACGATAATAAAAAAACTCCCCCAATCCAGCCCAGCCCAGCCCGTGCCTGATATTATGAATAAGGAAAAAGGAAAGGAAAAAAAAAACCCATTGAATACCCAGCCAGCAAAAAAATGATAGAGTCCACAAAAACAAAAAGAAACAGGCAGGATTAAGAAAGAAAGTTAAAGGGTAAAAAGAAAAGAAAAGGTGGAATAGGTTATAGTGATATGGTAACGATGTGATGCTGTTATTATGGCGAATGTCCTTTCCCTGCGTTTCCCGACCTAAAAAGAATAGTAATATAAAAAAAAGCAGAAAGTCTATACAGCAGCCTTTTGCTTCCCTTCTCTTTTCGACAGAATCTTGAATTCCATCGGTATCACGTCCTTGAGGCTGACTTTGCCTCTGCATACTGGGCACCTCCCAGCTGACTTAACCGGCGGCATAGCCGAGGCCTTGATTGCGCCGTGAAGGCATTTGTGGCAGAACATATGGCCTGTTCCCAAACGCACATAAGCAACTATCTTGACAACTCTCTTTACAGAACCAGCTATCTAGAAAAAAAAAGAAGGGTATATAGAGTAGTTGGGGGAAGGGTCACAAACCACAAGGCGTCACTGCCAAATCTGTGGGCTCGTCCTCCATACAGATGACGCACGTGAATCCCGCCACCTTCCTCTTCTCGCTCTCCCTCGCTGCCTCTTGAGTCTTCAATAGGTCCTCCCTCTGCTGACGACGAAGTACGTCCTCATCCGCCTCCAGCTCTGTCAAATCCACACTCTCGATGACACGCCGGCGCTTCGCGGCTGGCTGCTCGTCGGAGTGGCTCGGCGGCGAAGCGGTGAGGTCTATTGTTGGGGCGCGGGCGTTCCAGCGTCTAGGGTTGCGGTTGGCGGGAGAATGGCGGGGCGAAGCGTGAGGGTAGGGAGAGCGCGGGTATTGTTGTGACATTGTGGAGGTGTTTGGGCGTGTTTGTATGTTTAGTGGTGAGGATGAGGGGAGGTGTTGGCGGTGGTGAGGTGAGATGAGGTTTTTTGAAGGTGCAGCAGACAGGACAAGGGCGTTATGTAGAGTAAGGTGCCTAGGCTGGATACCGGACCCCCTTGGTCGTTGTTCCTGAGTTTTGACCTGGTCGCCAAGACTTTGCGTAGCTGTCAACTGGGGGTGCGATTCCATGATTGGTGGGAGGGTTTGTAGAGGTCTGGAACGTTCAGGGATGTCTATCTCTTTATATAGTTATTATTCACTCTGGGTATTTATGTATTTACATATGTACATGTAGGTACTCTATTAAAGCCTGTGGGGAGCATCTGTAGCTCGTTTGAATACCTGGAAAAGCTGTGAGGATTGTGCATGTATGTAACCCTATTTGATGTAACTGTAGAGGGCACAACAGCAACGTGCCTCAATAACCAGGTGACAGGAAGGTCCACGTCGCACGAAACATACACATATTCAAACTCCTATCAGCCAACCATATATATCAGTTCCAGACCACGGTGATGTCACTGATATCCTATCAGAATCATGGTGTCCTTATCACTACCGCATCACGAGACAAAATCTCAGGTAAATTTCTTTGAACTCCTGTCTCTACCACGTATTCTGGTGTTTTAAACCTGCCAGTTTATGCTGATTCATAGTGATCCCCATAATCCAAACAATCTACTTGGACCCTCAAGCCTAAGAATAAGCTCAAGCCTGAGCTTGGGCCGGAAAATATGTCGAACATACTAAATACTTTGCAGGAATTGCGGCACAGTTCCAGAAGCTCTAGATGGGACTAGATGAGTCGAGTGCTCTCGTGCACACAGGTCACGACACCGATCTACAGACGTACATACATACATACATGTATTGTAGATCCATGTCTTGAGCTCGAGCTCAAAGCTCAGGCCCACAGATCGTCAATCTACATCAAGCTTGGGAGGGTCTAGAGCTCGGAAGTATCATACCGCCATAACTCGAAAAATTGGCTAGATCAGAATTACTTGTATGGGAAACTTCTGATGTAGATCGATGCCATCCAACCAATTATTCAAGCGGTAGTCCCTGGACGGAGATAGCCAATTTTTCGAGTTTTGGCGGTAATCTAAATTACCTTCTTCAGGTCCTCACCCAATTCTTATAAGGTTTTAAATATCACATTGCATGCCGGTGTCGGTGAGGGGGCGGGTACCTGTTCCTTACCTAGGAAAAGTGCTAATACTGCAAAAATACATATTTGGCTCTTATCGTTTTGGGGGGGGCATTTATTCTTTTCTCAAGCTCTTGTCACGCACGATACAGAGGACTAGGGCTGGAATATCGGCCACTTTCAGCAGAGTTCGAGCTCGGAAGACTCCTGCCTGGTCTATTATGTGATCCCGGCTCTGAATTCAAGACCAATAAGCTAGCCTTGTCCCTCAACCAGGGACATGTTAGCATAGACCTATTCTATTCAATCTTAGTCCTCGCTACATTAGTGCTCAACTTGCGACAAGTCAGAGCTTTAATTCAGATTCGCTCAGCTTAAGAGAAGAAAGCACAACAGATACAAGTATATACTCCTAGCATAATACCCAACATATATATATCAGTGTATGGCAGAAATTTACGTCTTAAGGGTATACGTAACTTTAGACTGATTTTATATAACTACATGTACATATATTCTGAGACTCTTAAGTTAATTCGGACCTAAAGAAAAAATAACTGCAGTACTGGCCCGGGCCTCATTGCGTAACTTGAAATCTTCAAACCCAAAGGCTGTTCTGATGTCTTAGAAGCTGGTCATGCTGAACGTACCTTTTTGCGTAAGACATCCTCTTAAAAAGTCTTAGTTTGAGGTCATTTGCTAAACATGAGCTGGCTTGAGGGAAATGCAAGTTTTACCTCGATCTCGCTCTATCTAGTGAGAAGATATCAAAGATGCACGAGCCTATAAGTATGTTCGAACTTCCCACGCGAGCTTAAAAGCAGATTCATATTATATAAATAAAGGTCTTGGTTTCATTTGAACTAGATTATCCCGGACTAGGGGAACTGTTTAACTCACAAAATACTAGTAGGTAGTAGTTCGATAATAGGTCGAGCTTATACACCACAAAGTACGTAAAACCGATTAGACTTGTACCGGGTAGGATAGAAAGATTTTGTGTTCTAGCCTAATTAGTCATGAAACTATTCCTTTTTTCATAGACCTTTCAATATTTTCCCGGGGTCGAGGAGGAGGGGCAGGGGGTTAAGGGCAGATGATCATGCTGGTTGCAATTGACAAAGAGGAGTGCAATCGATCTGCCACAGCCTTGCGTCGTGCTTGTGATCGACCTACCCCCACCTCCCCCAAGACTTCTCGCAACCTTCAGGCAGCAATCTTTGGGATGTAGAGGGAAACATTATGTGATTTAATTGTATTTTCTTTAACTTGAAATTCCGTACTTTAAATGTATAGCTATCGCTGCCTAATGTAGTGATAAACACCTGACATATGTCGGAATGTCTTGGGTTTGATTCCCGCCTTAGAGATGTTTGAGACACCACGATATATAATTGAGGGCCTCACAGGTGCGTCATATTATTGTCCACACAGACTGGATAGATGCCTTATCAACCGAGGAAGAGGGTTTTCCGACTTACTGTACTATGAATTTATTCCTCTGGAGGTAAGGGCGTAAGACCCCAGCTGTTTATCCGAAGCTTTCCTTCACGGGGTCTAATGTCAACGGTAAACAGCTGGCGTAAGTCGATGCAGTTTTTTCTCCATATCGAGAGTGACTAGCAGAACCACCTCACGGCCGCGAAGTCTTGCTTTTACTTGAGAATCCTTCCCACCTACATGTAGTGCTTTCCACCTTCAGTTCCCGCAGTTACTCGCCCGGAGCAGTTGGACATCTCTACCCATGACTCCCAATCTCTAGTAGTTTCTCATGTTACTCATAGCCACCTCTAGTATGTACATACATACAATAAATACATATTAGATTCGACATTACCCTTCCCCGTATGTACAGCTACTACGCCTCCCCTGGATAACCCTCCCCTAAACAATATGACAAAGGCGATCTTTACGCTCCGTGTGGCATTTGAAGATCATTTCGCCGGGTCTTATTTTCTGTTGAAGCGCACTGGTACCAGCCCTCTTGGCTGCCATGCCACTTCGGATTTTATCGCTTCAAGAGAGCAGTCTGGACACGAGATCGCCCACCTATGATACTGCCGCTATTACTTAAGTATAATACTGTATGTACCACGTGCAGTTAGAGCTTCAATGTAGTCGCGAGTGATAATGTATGATTTCGCAAAGACACAACACGCAGTTGTTCTTCACAGAACCTAACGCAGTCTATCCGCTACAGGCACCTACCAATCTAAAGAAGCCCTCCACCGTAGTTCCCCCTCACCCCATGCAAGCTCCTCGGAAAACAGCGCTAACCAAATTGGTCATGGCTCTCTCTAGTTATCCTCGATAAAAAAAAGGTTCGTCGCTTTCCCCTCATCTACAACCACGCCCCGCGGAACAAAAAGGAAGATCTGTTGATGCCCTGATGCTCTGACTCGGAGTTGAACCGAGGATCTCAGCATTACTAGTGCTATGCCTTACCAACTTAGCCACCAGAGCAGGTGTTTTCTCACATCGTATTAGAGCTAATGTGGAATTTATCTGTACGGCCCCGTCCGGGCAGGGGAGTATTAAAGTCGGTTTAGGGAAATCATGTGCGCCTACTATGTACGTATTAGAAGAGACGTATGCAGCCACCTGTACAATATTGTGTGATTTTGTGGTGTATATCGATTCTTGGGCTGATACGAAGAGACAGAAGGAAACATCGAGTGAGAGATTGTGATTACAGGAAGATTGTCTATAAACAACTTTCCTTCACAATGGCACCCATATTTCAAAAGCTGCAATTCTATGTAGTTCTAGAGATTCGTGGCCAGTCGAGAAAGTCTTGATAGTGTTGTGCGGTATTTTAAAATTGATGTGGAAGATGAAAGTTGAAACGAATTGTACGCTATCGACACTGCATGCGCACCTTTGCTAAAAATTGAAAGATTATAACAAGACCTGCACGGGAAAAATTATGCGCCCCAAAAATTTTGAAGACTACATATACTCGCACCAACCCTATTTTAAAGTTGGGGTCTTTATTTTATTTAACTCATAGACATTCCGCCAGTATCCTCTTAAAATACAGTAATAATAATACAAAATTGGAGATCAAGATCTAAATTTAGAGAATTCTAGTTCTTCGAAACCGGGCCTTCTCTATCCTCCTATCCCGCCGTACCCCCCGAAAGCCCCCCCCCCGCAATCTTTGCGATTTTTGCGCTTTTTGATCATTTCCTCTTCCTTCTTCTTCGCCTTCCTCAACTCTTTTGCCAAAAGAACCTGGGCCTTCAACGCCGCTCTCTTTTCCTGCTTTGCAATCCTCTTCGCCTTCAGCTGCTCTTTCCTCATTTCCTTTCTCTTCGAGTGCCCCAAGGTCGTCAGGAGCTCCAGCTCTCTGAGTTCCCCCAACTCCCATGCTTCTTTATCCGTGAGCCCAAGAGGGCCTCGTTTCTTCACCTTGCACTGTAGTTCTCTGATCCTGTTTTGTCTCTTCCTGACCATCTGTTTGTTCGGGAGGGTTTCCTCTAGAACCTCCAGTGCCGGAGAGCCTTTAAGCTCGACACTTATAAGGTTTAGAAGGTCTCTTGACGCTACAAGTGTTTGCTCCACCCTCTCTAGCCGCTCTCGCACCAACTTCTTCTTTGCCCGGGTCTCTACTTTCATTAGGATTATTTCCCTTTTTGTTGGTAGGCCTATACTCGTAGCAATTATATCGCGATCCCTGTCTTGCTCGAATTTCTTCTTCCGCCTAACCAAGCGCACCTGTCTAGCTAATTCTCGCTTTGCCTGGTTCTTTTCAGCTTTCGTCAACTTTAACGGTGCAGCATGATTTAAAGGATGCGGTTCGGGCATTATTTCCAGAACCTCTCGAGGCTTTGGATGAGGCGGAAGTAGCTCGCGAGGCTTCGGATGAGGCAGAAGTAGTGATTCTACCAGTTCTACCTTGTCCTTCCCCCTGACCTTTTTTGGGATGAAAGGCTCTGGTGGTGGCGGTGGGTTAAAAACTTCGAAAATATTCTTTTGCATCTGTTCGAGTAGCTTTTGTGCTCCCTCCATTACATTTTCTGTGTGTGCCGTATTCAATTCCTCTTCAGAAGGTTTGCCTTTTTTCCCATTCTTAACGTCGCTTACTGGCTTATAGGGAACCGTTACATCTGGGTTGGGTGCTGTCCGTTCCTTCTTTGCTACTGATGGTTGCTTTTGTTTTTTCTTCTTCACGAGAGGCGGCGTCTCCACGATGGGTGATTGTTCCAAGATAGGTGACGGCTCTACAACCTCCTGCTCGATCAAGTTCTCCAAGCTAGGCGGCAGCGTTGTCTCCACCTCCTCCAAAGGCTTATCCATCTCAACCGCCCCCAAAGGCTTCTCGGTCTCCACTGCATCACCCTTCTTTTCAGACTTCTTCCCCCTTTTCTTCGTAGTTATATCCTCAGCCTTATAAAATGCTTGCAGCTCCTCCTTGTCACCCCCCAGGATCTGCGCCTTTACATATACTTCCGTATCCTCGGCCCTGTACAAGTCCATGACCGGCTGCCTCTTTTTATAACTCCATCGCTCCAAACCGATCTGTGACCTTGGCACTATGGACGGATCTAACCTCGCCTTATTACCTTTGCTAAGGAGCTGTATGATGTTGAGTGACTCTCCATGCCGTATGGGAGTCGAGTGAGATGGTGTGGTGCAATCCATGTCAACGTCCTTCCTCATCACCGTATCAATATCGACCGCTGAGAACCATGCCACCGACTGTGGCAGGTCATTGATTCCCATCTGCTCACTGAACATCGCGCGTGTCCACAGATTGGCCACCTGGAGCGCCATGGCGCACCGGTACTTGTCGGCCTCTGCGCAGAGATAGCGCACTTCGTCGTGGATAGTTAGCGCAACGCGTGCAGAAATATTGAAACGCTTGGTCAGATACTCCATCGCCACGAGGAGCATGTGAAGGTAGTCCACACCGCTGCTCTGCATAACCCAGTTGATGCGGCTAGGCATAAACTCCCGAGAAGATAGGTTCTTCCGCATCAGTGCCTGCGTAATGCCAGCGCCTAACACAGGTGTCTTTGGCGTCTCTTGCTCCGCAAATGTCTCAAGTTTATTGAATACGAAGCTCTCGGTACCTCCACGCCAGAATCCACGTTCATGGACGGTCAGCTTACGGGTGCGGGTGCCTTTGGTCTTTTTGTACATATCCTCCGCGAGAACAGTTGCATCCAGCTCACTCAACGCCGGATTTAGTTGCACCAATGTCATTGCTGCAAAGTGCGAGCCAGCCCCATAGATGCGGGAGTAGTTGATGACTTTTGCGCCGTCCCTGTTGACGCCAACAAGATTGGCAGTCCGCGAGTGCATGTCTGTACCGTCGGCCTTGTTTCCTTCGAGCACCATGGAGCCGAGTGCGTTTGCACCGTGAAAGCCAAATACTGCGTCGCCGACCAGCGACGCGATCCACAGCTCCTCGCTATCGACGTCTGCGCCTACAAATACATAACCGGGCGGAGGTTTGACCATTGCTTTGATCTCGCTGCCGACACGCTGAGGAGTTGGAGATGGAGCAGTAAGCCATGTTGACTCTGAGGCACGCCGAGTGACTGTTCCCATAGGCACTACCTTTGGGAGTATAATTCCAACCTCCTGGCTTCCCTCTGCGGTGGGGATACCGAAATCGACACCAGGGTTGCTCTGCCAAACGACAGTTTGCTCCATAATGCGCTCGCGGGCACTGATCCAATATGCGCACTGCGCGTTCATATCGAGCGCCTCCTTCCCAAGCGCATACTCTGATGACAGCACCCCCGAGTCAAAATATCGCTGGTAGCTCTTCGTCAGCGGGCTGACACACCGCGATGACTGGCCGCTTTTATGCGGAAGCTTATAGTAGGCGCCATCGGTATCTTCTGCCACCTGCACCCTAGTGAGCGACTTTTCATATCTCTCAATATCATGCTCAATATTCTGCTCGCTCCGGCCCTTCCAGGGAACCTTCGAGAGGCGGAAGCACCACCCGTGTTCGTCGGACCAGAAGAGGGGATGTCCATCCCACGCCATCTTGAGAAGTAGTGGTGAAATGCGAGTACGCACAGTGAGTGACATTGAGGCATCACTGGTGGCGAATAGGTCCCTGTACCATTTAGGCATGCCCGGCTTCTTTCGCGGCATCACGCGTGGGGGGTCATCTGACAGCTTGGTCTTGAGTTGTTTGACCTCCTGCCCGGACCAGTCGAGCTGCCGAAGCCACGGATCGGCGTTGTATATCTCGGGAGATTTACGCAGTTTCACGGCTTCTTCCGCGAGATCGACGAGGCGCTGGAGAACGGCATCGGAGAGGCGGTGGTAGGTTGCTTCAGCGTTTGTGATGTATGATTCCCAGCCGCGATTGACGGGGAGTATGCAGGATGAGAGGTGACGAAGGGCGGCAAAGGAGATGGGATGCGGACAGACTTCGAGGAAGGCTGGGAGCACTTTTTTATAGACTTTGTGTGTGGCCACTACATCCTCGGCGCAGTATGTTAATAGATTGTCAAGCTGTTCCCTCACGCCCTCTGGATCCAAAGTTCCAAATTGATCTCTGATACTCTTGTCCATCTTGATCCCACAGTGAAACAAGGCCACATCCTTTAAGCTATTTAGAGAGCTCTGTCCAGTCCAATGCCCGCTACCCTCCAAACTCTCACCCACTACGAAGCCTTCATCATTACGTTGACCCCCCTCGGCATTCTTTTTAATTAATCCCTTCTTCTGCTTCGACGTGGCTCCATTTGCAGCGACATGCAAACTCATCGTGTCTAGAAACATTGTTTGCGTTCCAGCTATATTGTACTCTTCCTTCACCCGTACTCTGTCGAAACCAACGTTGTGTCCGGCCACTACTCTGGCCTTGCTCGGATCTCCCAGGCTAATCAACTGCCGATCGTCCTTAGTTTCACCCAGAACCCACGGCGAGAGCCATGCATACCACGCATGTGGGCTCACGGCGGTTGCCATGACTGCGAACGGAGATATTTTGTACAGGACTTCCACATCAAATACTAGACACTCCTCATCCGGTGACTCTACCGCCTCTGTTCGTCCGTCTGAGTAGTACTTGGTCCACCCCGACTTGTGCACCCACTTCTTGGGTATCCGCGGTACGTCAACGGCGGCAAACCCACGCGCGAGATCATGATACGGAAAAGCAGCCTCCATACCGAGTTTGTAGAAGTGCTCATCGAGGGAATTCCCAGCGAGCGCTGGTAGTGGGAACACCACCGGCTTTGGTCTGCTCGGTGGTTTTGAGAGGAGGTTATGGCGCTGGAGATGCTCTTTTGAGAGTTTTAGAAGATCGGGGGAGGGCTTTTTAGGAGGGGCGGTGAAAAGCGCATTGTGGACTCTGTGCGGGAGGAGTTGAATTCCTAAGGGGTTGGTTCGTACTAAATATGCATGTTTGTTAGTCTTTCAATTCTGTCCGGGGCATCGGTAGATATGATGGACCTACGGGAAGTCTTTGTAGACTTGTAGCGGTTGCGGAGTAGTTGTAGATGCAGATACGGCTGTGGTCGGCCGCGAGTGCGGAGACAGGTCGACAGCATTGTGAGTTGATACTCAATGGCAATTTCGCATTGGCGTTGTTGTACAATTGTGTGAAGCCTTACGGGGGTGGGGTGTTTCTGGTGGGGCGGATATTTTTTTTCATGGAGATGATGTCAGGGATTGATGCTGCCAAGGCTTCGTCGGATAAGATGTATAATTAATCATTGACCTCCACCTAGCGGCAGAATTTTGACGCTTGCGCTTTCTCTCCAAGCTATAACATATTGATAACATTTACATGGATGAGATCAAATGTTTGACCAAGTACCTGGATTGTGATGAGCATACAAGTAACTATACTAATTCCCTTGAAGTTAACCCTTTATAAAATTTAAAATTATAGTAAGCAACCGGCGATAGATGATAGTGATACCCGAATTAATCTTAGACTTCGACTACAACGTCAAATTTAAGAATTCGTAAGAACTTTGGGGATGAGAGCCTTTTCAGTGCGGTATACTTAGATCTTGGGGTAAGTCTATTGATAAGTCAATTAAGATACCGGTCATGATCATCAAGTACATGCAATCGAGCGAACAACAAAACTGATCGATCACTGGCTCATGGAAGTTTAGGGCTGTCCTATGTAGTTTTTATATTATTAGTGGTAGTACTTGAATTGTGATTTGGTAGATGTTGCATCCAATATTGGTGTTTGGCCAGTTATACTATCATGAACGATCAACGGCAAGTGCATCTAAGGCCACCTCCCCTAGGTCTGGTCCCCAGCTACAGGCTCTTAGGTTTCTAAGGAGATATCAAGAGCGTAGTAGAGTCTCACCATTGAACTAACCGAATCACCTAAGATACAGTGTTACAAGGAGAATCCAAATTACTGAGTTCTTCTGTGCTATCGATCATTAGCTCATGATCGGTGGAAACCTTTTTCTCTCTTCCCTAAGCTTCTTGGGGGTGGGGTTTGTGTAAAGGGATTTGCATGAGGGTGTGGTAAATAATCCGATATCTCTTTAACTTTAATCCATCCCTATCTTGACGAAACATAATATATCGCCGTTATATTTTACCTTTTTAGTCGTTCTGTCCCTGTAGTCTAAAACGGAGCGCGGCACTCCCCGCCCTCTTATGATATTTTACCAGCGGAAAGTGTAAATCGCGGGGCGAAGAATAGGCCGCGGGGCCGCAATTAAAGAAAAAAATCCACCCTACTGCCTCCCCCAAGAGAGAAGAATATAGCTGCTCAGGATCGTGGAAAAAGGGCAAACTTTCCTGCCGATCACCCGGGCTAGAGACCAAGGAGAAAGTGAGAAGCCAGAGGACAGGATAAATCCATGTTTCAAGGGCCTCAGGGCTGGTTAGCTTCTCCGTTGTTCAAGCCCTTCTGCTGGAAGGCCCACGTTCTAGGTTGCATGCATCCTAGAAGTTCAGGTATTCTGCCTACTTCTTTACCAATTCACGTCAACTTACTTGCCGCGGCCGCCCGTTTAGCAGCGATAACTCCAATTGCATTTGGGGGCTTGGAAAGATAAATATCACCCAAAACCATCACCATATAAGTTGTTGCGCCTCAGACTCACCAGCTTCCCCTTTAGATCGTACCGACCTTTATTAACACGTAATATCTTCCGTTTCTTCAAATTCCTAGTCCAAAAGTCCAAGCGATTCCGAGAGGAATTCTGCTGGTCTGATGAAGAGCTGTCGATTCCTCCTGGAACACACGGCACAAACACGCATCTCCTCGCAGATATGTGTGCATCAAGCTATAACAGCCCAAGCTTATGATATATTGAAAGATTGATTACGATGAGTAGATCTCGAAATTTGAAAGTATGTACTTTACACCGTACCAAGAGTAGGAAGCTGAGGCCAGAGTATAGTTAGTAAAGCTGTGACAAAAACACGTATTTTCTTACTGACAATACACTTCATTACATGTACATAGCTACATGTAGCAGCTGCGCAGCTGACGATGTTCCAGGCATTGGTACAACATATGCATGAAAACAGAATCCAATTCCAACAGAAGTCTCTAAAGAATCACCTGTTAGAAAAAAAACCCCTATTACTCCGGTTAATTGCACATAGTGTAAGGTATCAGCTGGTCAAAAGTTTGTAACAAGATTGACTGATTTTGTTTACATCTCGTTTCATGCGGCGGAGACGGAGAAAGCCGTGTGAGCCTCGCCTAGTCAATAATTCCAGATTCCAGCCACACACTCTCTTTCAACCTCCAACGAACTAGCCACGAAAACAACGCCATCCCCAGGTTCCAGTTTCTCGTGAGAACACCCCAAACCTCAAAGCGCGCGACGGTCTTGCTGAAACTTGCCTCTTACTGCCTTAAGTACGTGCTGTCTTTCGAAATGGCGCAATCAGCAGCATCTTCGTTCGACGACTTTCAAAACTTGCATAACACACTGATAGATCCCCGCGGCCCAAATCTAGCGGTGCTAGCGGAAGAGCTGGAATCACGCACTGCAGAACTGAAAAAGCTGCTCGAGGTTCCACCTAAGAATGATGCTAGTCGAACGAAGGTCAAGTCCGGTAAGCTACATACTGCCTCCACGCGTTTCCCAGACGAGCCCGTATTAACTTTACCTTGCGCAGGAAAACTGGAGATTAATGGGGGAGAGTACAAAATCAATGAGCAGTTTATCCAGGAGGCGACGCAGCTGTCAGATGACTTCAACATGGATGAGGTAGAGGCAGCAAGGCTGTTATTTAGGGGATCTGAGGAGATGCAAAAGCTAGATCGGTCGGCCTTCCAAAGCGCCGTCTTTCTCTACCATACTCGTCGACAAAACCTTCTAGAATGCTTACGACTAATACTCTCCTACGCGTTCAACGATAATACAGATCCTGAACTACGACAATTGGCCAAGGAAACGGTTGATGTGCTATCTCCACTCAAGACTTGTGGGCAAACGTTTGCCGAGAGGTGTATTTCAGCGATGGGGTCGGTGCGGCAATCTGTGGAGCAGTTGAGGGCGAAGGAGAAACATGATCATACGCTTGGGCTAGAGAGTACCCCAAGTAATAAAGAGGACTTAGAGCTACATGTTCGGTTCCTAATCAATCAACATGAAGCCCTTGCATCTAGTGTTTACTACTTGGTCAAACTAAAGCGGGCCACAGTCTCAGATTTCAAGACTTTACTCAACACCGTCAAGACCTTTGAGAAACATGACACATTCACCCTTCACCACATGCTTCCACTGTACGCCTTCATCACTATGCTCTGCGAGACCGATTCACCTCTGAGTTTTGAGGAGACTATCCAACTTCATAAAGAGATGTTGAGTAACTATAAATCATCACCATGGCCGCTAAAATATATCCATGCATCCGTCAATGTATTGTGGATAAGCGAATTTAATGGACTCTGCAATGATCCTCCAACCATCGATGCACCAAGTCTTCAAAAACTAGACTACATGTCCGATATATTTGAGCCATCAAAAGAGGCGTTGGAGCAGGGTGCATTTGAATTTTTACTTGCGGTGTGCGCGGACGTTAGTGCCGAATGGGACCTCAACTCAGCAAAAGAGGACTTGCACCGATTTTTACAGACTCGAGTATCACCAGTCGATCACCGTGGTCATATATCAGTACCTTTCAGGTCATTAATGATCAATCAGATAGAAATTTTTGTGGATAGTTTCATCTCAAACATGGCAGATATATTAAAGGATATCAAGACGCGGGAGGAAGAGGACGTATTGTTAGGGCGGAAGACTTTGGGGTATGAGCTAGAGAGATTTTTCCTTATCATTCATTATGCATATTTGGGGCGACGAGACGCCGGAATGGTGTTTTGGAGTGACCCAGAAAGTAATTTGCACGGCTTTATCTCTTGGGCATCGATGAGGCAAACACCATTTATGGCGGCTACCTTCAGCTATATGCTAGCTTCATTATCGTTAGGCAAAGTTGCCGCCGAACACACGCATAGATTTCTCCTTGACGAGGCCAACCCCGGGAGCACCAAAAGAAGGACAACTTATCTGTCGTGGGACTACATCTTCAAACAATTCCAACTGTATATTGGCCAGTTAGAAAAGCGATCACAGCAGTTAGTCCCAGCGAATGCCTTCAGGCCTCCCCTCCCGCCGCCAATTGAAACTACGGAGCCTGCGCCTGAGTTGAGTATGATGTTGGACGGATTCATGCGGCTAATTTCTCAAATTGTACAAGAATGTCCGGATGCCAAAAATTGGCTACTTCATGAGAGCCCCTTCAGAGTTATCCCTGCTCTATTTGAGCTCCTTGGGTTACAAGCGTCTATCCAACTGTGGGATTCTATTTTTTCAACCATCACTGCTTTCTTGACTGAGAAGACTGAAGCTATCAATAACGAAATATGGAAAGCAATTGACGATTGGGCTCTTGGAGCTGCTCCCCCAACTACCGCTCTACAACTCGGCGCCATCCCTGGAAAGGCCTTCGCCCAAGCTGGGTCTGAGAAACTTGACGCAGTAGTTACTTCGGTCCATCCTGCCGAGGCCTTTGTGCGTCTGCTTGCCACTTTGATTTCGCCGGCATCTCATGACCAGCTTAAAGACGCTCTACCATTTCCCGAAAACCTTGGTAGCATGAATCGGTTATCCGGGATCGATCCATACGTCGATTTTATTTTGGGAACGATTTTCTCAAGTACCACGGTGCAGAATCTTCCTCCCGACCTTGTACTTCCGGTCGACAAGCAAGATGTCCCAAGCGAAATGTTGACCCGCTCACAGTACCGGAGTTTTCGTCCGGCGCTCCAGTCTAGCTGCTTGACTTTCATTCATACTTGTCTTGCAACATTTAACGAAGATCTTCTCAATATCGCAGGCTCCAATATTTCTCTTGATTCTGCGATGAAGGCATCTTCCCTTGAGACCTATGCAAAGCTACATCCATTTGCCAGGGTCATGGAGCATATCCTTACTGAGAAGTGTTTTAACGTTTTCTACGAAATCTTGAAGCTCGGCGTTGAGGATCTACAAACTGCGGACGTACCATTTCCTCTGGTTGAATCAATCTTGACAGTCATCAACAT